TATACATTATATACATTTCTTAATCTTGAGTACATATTCATATACAAAAAAAAAAACCTTCCATAGTTCTTCCAAAGTAAGCATGCTACTTATTCATTTAAAACAAATCTCAAATTACACTTTTCATTATTTAAACCTATTTGTATTAATATCTATATCCATCTTATTTTCATTTTAATGCATTCTATCTTTTTTTATATATTTCTTTCTATTATTATCTTTCCATATCTCTTAAATCTGAGTTTCAATATCCTTTTCCCAAAGTGCTACTGGGTGCAAATCTATATGTAGTATCTCCTCCTCTCTCTGTAAAACATGTTGCATTTTTGCAAAAAGTAGGTGCAGAGTAGAAACCAAGAGAACCTTCTCCATCAAAACCCAGTTACTCCTTCCTGTGCTTTTTACATCTGCTTGGTGCAGAGCAGTGGTTCGAGCGTTGGACTATGACTCTGAAGACCAGGGTTCGAATCCTGCTCGACCTTGAAAACCCACTGGATGGCCTTGGGCAAGTCATGACTTTTTCAGACTCAGACTTTTGCAAAAGGAAAAACCCCTCTGATCCAATTTTGCCAAGAAAATTCCATGATTGGGTCGCTATAGGTCAGAAATGTCATAAAGGGACACAACAACAAGAACAACAAGATAAAGGGCAAAAAGCAAAGAAGATTTTTCCTTTCCTTTTGGCCAAAGAAGAAGAATCCCCATATTCTTTTTCCTCCCAGAAAAGTCCAGCTGCTCATTTTGAGATCTGTATAATTGCTTGGGAATTAAATGCAGCCCAGACTGCAGAAAATAAAATGTTTTTTTGGGGGGGGGGAAACAAGTTCCACCTGGCTGAAAAACCATCTTTACCTAAAACTATGACCATTTCAAGTTTGCAAACGAGTTTTCTTTTTTTGTGTTCTGTAAATGGGGTGCATCAGTGCATTTGCTACCGGCGGTACTAGAAGCTGAAAACAAATGACTCTGAATGTGTGTAAACTTGGCTGGAGCATTTAAATGTGGATTTTGGAAATGTGTGCACCAAGATGCATGATTTGTTGATTTTCTGGCTTGCTTCTCCTGTTCTTTGGTGTCTCCCTTTCGGCCTCTTGGGGACAATAATAAATTCTGTCCTGAGCATTTAAGCCTTGTGTGCGTGTCTCCTTCATTTCAGAGACTCCTAGGACGTTATCACACGTGGGCCAGAAGCGATAATAAAGTGGAAATGAGGCATTCCGAAAATAAACGGAAAA